ATCCTCATTTCTAAGTTTATTACGGAGAGAAACCCGAGCATAGCTCTATCCATAGCTCGCTGAGTGTCCTTAAGCGTCTTCATACCGCCAGCAGTGAAAGACCACGTTTAATTTCCATAAGTCATCACTAGCAACACGCACTAGTTGTACAGCTTCGTTTTCAGGTTTTAAGGTATAGCTGACGAGAAGATGTGTAGTATTAAACGCTTCCCAGCCGATTTGGTCCGTTGAGTGACCTCTCGGCGAAGTTGGACTTACCTAGTCAGACTATTTGTCCCCGGTAAAATTACTCGTCGACAACTACGAGCTTAGTGCTCCCAACAACTACTGGCATAGGTGTGACAAGAACGGTCCACATGATCTTTGATCTTGTTCATGTTTCTCTTACGAGTAAGACCTATCTATTGGGAGGCACTATTAAGGCCATGTGACCATAGTGCTTAATTTTTGTAGCAACTTTGCTTCGAGAACTATGTGCTCAAAATTGATGTTAATACCATATCTTTTCCAGTGCAGTAGCTTAAAAACGTCTGCCAATGCAGTGGTGAAGATTTTCGGGTATAAAACGCCACCCTGTCATACAGCTCTCTAAAGTTGGATAGGTTTTGTACTCTGGTTCTGTACTCGGATAAGCATCGTGTAAATACTTCAGCACTTCAATATACCGACAGTCAAATTGACACCGCTGAAGGGACTGTAGTTCCGCCCATATTTCGACGAAATTAAAAGCTTTCTCATAGTCCACATACGCAAGATAAAGTGGCAAATTGTACTCTTAGATCTTTTGTACAATTAGCCGAAGGGTATAAATGTGGTCGTATGTGGAAGGTTGGAAGTCTTCGAGTCTGCGTGCGAAACGATTCGTAATTGCTTCCTAAAACAGCACAAAGACGCTGTTCAGAAAGGAGACCGATCTGTAGTTCTTCAAGAGAGCATTGTCGCCTTTTCTTTGAGGAAGAAGACCACTGAAGAATTGAAGAGTTTCTGAAGGTCTTAAAATATTGGTTTTCCACACGCTTTTAGAAGCTCCGCTGTAATTTCTTCCTTACCCGGCGCCTTGCGGTTTTTAAGGTCCTAGAGAGTTGGATATTCGGAATAAAATCGCAATAGTGTCTGACAAGATTTGCTTTTGGTTACTAACACATACGTGTGGTTCCAACGATGACGTGTACAGCTGTCCATATGACCTTTCAATCTCACTCAAAATCTCAGGTGTCTCGGAATTGATGCTGCCACATTCCGTCTTCAGCTTCGACAGTTTGCTCTTTCTAGCTGATTTTTGAGCCCTCATTCAATTGTTTTTTTTAACACGAGCTGTAATGAAGTTGCGTGAGTCCTATTAAAATAATAAATTATTACGAACTGGATTAATCAAATTACTTAATTTTACTCAGTCATAGACTAAATTAATTTTTAGACAACGTTTTTTGTTTCGCTAATGCGAAAAAACGTTATACATAACAATCCACACACCACACGTCAATAGAGGTATTTATGAAATGTAAAAATGGGAACAATTTTATCAAAGAATGAAGGTGAGAATAATATAGTTATCTTATTTCTTATCACGAAAAACGCATATACCTAAAGAGCTACAAGAAAATATTCTGTTCTAGATTCCTATTCCTTCTATGCTAGTAATAATTACCCTGCGGTTTTATCGATTATACAGAGAACTTAAGTACTAAAAGTCACTTCTTGACTTTTAATTTCTACTCTCGAGTAGTTTGCACAGCACCTTATTAGTGCATATGAAGACATCCTTATTAGGTTTTAACCAAGCCCTCAAATATGTCACGTTCACAGTTAATGATCCCTAGCACAGACTAATTGCTTAAGTTAGAGCTTTTACACCTATAGCAACCAAACAAGCCATTGTGTCTGTTTGACTATGTAGTTCCTATGACTTCAATGTCAATAAATCCGTATTTTAAAAAGCAATTATCTAATTAAGCGCATACTAAAAGAACTCGTCGACCTTAGCCCCGCACTTATATCTGCGTGTCGCGGTATTGAGTTGTTAATTTTTTACAATAATTGCATCGTTAAAAGATACCTAGAGCTATTTTTGTTTGATTTTTATAGAATATTGGTGCCAAACAAGCACACCGTCTACTAGATAGATGACTTAAATTGAATGTCTTATTTCCAGTAAAAAGGAACTCCGGTTCAGACATACGGAATATGAACACGATATCATTCAGCGGATTTTTAAGCTGATATTATGTGCGAGCGTAATCCCTTCTCAGTCAAGTCGATCCATTTTTGTTACAACCATATTAAACAATCATATAGCCTAACATCATATGGCCTAAATGACAATCCAAAAAGTCACAGGCTATCATTTCTGGTAGATAGAGCTTTATCTCAAGAATTGAATGATTTTCCGTATCACCTGTTGTATTAGATGGAGTTGTAATCCCATACTTTGACAATGTCAAAAATCTTGCTGATTATCTTGATTATTCCTTAAATTGGATACGCCAACTGAATGAGGTAAGTAATAAGACCTTTGTCACTCTTAGTTCACTGCGTCGCCTTCGATCATTTCTTCCCATTCGTACAAAAAGTACGCTCGTACAGTCTCTTCTCCTTCCGATTTTCGACCATGCTGACGCAAGCTATGTAGACATAACTGAGGACCAGCTAAATAAGCTTGAAAGACATCAAAATACTACTATTCGGTTCATATTTGGATTGCGCAAATTTGATCATATGTCCCAATTTCGCTCACGTCTCAAGTGGTCAGCTATCCGACTTCGCCGGAACATGCATATTCTTTCTATTCTGTACTCAGTATTATTTCATCCTTCTACTCCTCCCTATCTAAAGGAGAAGTTTAATTTTGTAGGGTTTTCAAGGGAATCTCTACGCTCTTCAAGAAAATTAATTTTAATTGTACCAACTCACAATACATCTTTTTTAATAAATCTTTTACTGTCCAGACGGGACTTTTTTTTTAAAATAAATTTTACAATATCAGGGGTTACATAATATTTACAAAATTTATTTTAGAAACAGCTTGGAAGCGACCACCTCATTCCCAGGGGTTATTATCAACCATGTATTAATCTATATCATAATAACCCTTTTCATACAGTTTTTTTGTTTAACTAAATATTTAAACTTGATAATAGAGATCTTGTACATTTTCTGGGACTTTGTTGTAATAGCGTATACATTGCCCAAAGAATGAATTACTGACTCTGTGGAGTCGAAAAACTGGTATTACCAGCTTGTGTTTGTTCCTAGTGTTTACAGGGTGTATGTCACTTTTTTTACTAAAACTACCTTTATTTTTGTGAATATACATAATATTTTCATAGATATACTGAGAGGCCAAACTTAATATATTTATTTCTTTAGATTTTTCTCTAAGAGACTCTCTCGGTTTAAGATTGTGAATAGCTCTAATGGCGCTCTTCTGCAAAACAAAAATAGTTTCTAAATCAGCCGCATTCCCCCATAGCAAAATTCCGTATGACATTATGCTATGGAAATAACTAAAATAAACTAATCTAGCTATCTCGACACAAGTGAGATCTCTAATCTTTTTTACATCATAAGCTTCAGAGCTTAGTTTGCTTGCTAGTTTAGATATGTCCACTGAAGCTTAGCGTCGAGAGTGATGCAAAAAAAAAACAGAGGACTCAACAGGACTCAGTTCTTCCCCATTTAAAAACACATTATTACTCGGATTATTAACATTTGTTGTTGTAAATTTAATACATTTAGTTTTATTGCCGTTTAAATGTAGATTATTAACGTTAAACCAATGCACTAATTTTGATATAGCATTATTCACTTCGTCACATTTAAATGATTGACGTTTAAGTTTAAAAATCAAGGAAGTATCATCAGAAAATAATACTACTTCATGATTATCCCCCATAAGGGAGGGTAAGTCATTAATATACACTAAAAATAGGAATGGGCCAAGAATTGAGCCCTGACGGACACCCATCTATAGGGGCCATCCGGAAGAACTTTTATCATTGATAACAACTTTCTGCACTCTATTACTTAAATATGAAATAACTAGTTTAAGTGTTCTCGAAACCATAGTACTGTAGCTTCCTGATTAATGTCTCATGGTGAACACAGTCGAAGGCCTTGGAAAGGTCAAAAATATATATAAGTCACACTATAGTTTGCTAATAACCGTATGAAAATGATAAAGTCGATATTAAATTGCATGAATTTGCTGCCCTCTTTATCATTTGTGCTCCTTTTTAATATTGTCCAACTCCTGTTTTACTTTGACATCATCCATTCATCTACAATGAAGTTAAGCAAGTATGTCGGCTGCTTAAAATTACAGATTGATAAAATTAGTCTTGCTAGTAATTTATTTAAAAGTGTTTTGAGATATCAGCTTTCGAAATAACAGTACCGAATTTGGGTGTTTATTTTTGTAGTGGAAAGTGTTATTAAAGTTATATCAATTACCAAAATATTGAAGTGTCTAACATCAATTAACAAAATATCGAAATGTCAAAAAATTAAAATCTAACAAAAATGTACCAATATAATGCACGAAAATGTAATAAAAAATTAATTTTCAACGAAAATCTCTTTTTTTTCAAGAATTTACATAAGTGAATGAATTTTTTATTAATGTGTTTGCATTATTTACATACACTACTACTACTACATTATTAAAAGTGATCCGGACCCTATTTGTGTACCACTAAATCTGCTTTTGATTAACATTCAAAAAACACATGCTTCGTCAACCCTGAGGATTAACACAGAATTTCTTATTTCCATAAAATGGAACTACCGTTCTCTACACTCAACATACAAAACTTAGCAGAATTAAGTTGCTGTTTTACCGTATTAATGCTGCGCAAGTACAAAATTTGTATTATACTTCAATAAATATACTGCCCCTAAAATTTCAGAAATACAACCCCGTTTACTATCTAGTAAAGTAGCATAAATAAGTACAACGCCACATACCAATGCTGCTGTACACTGTGAAAAATTAGTGAGTGGCCATGGATTTTAAATCGGAAGAAGGTGAGGGTCATCTTTGCCGGACCAGCTAGTAAAATTCAATTTAATTAAGAAAAGTTACTGGTTCGTACCAAAAAAATTAATGCAATTTTAATGCTGATTCACCAGGTGCTCAATAGTGAATGAAATCCAGAAATACCTCTCGTAACAGTAAATTCCACAGAGTTATCGTGCGAAGTAGAAAAATCCGTGTAAATCACGCGGTAGTCGATCGCCAACCCTCGGGATGAAAACTATGAAATTTCGAGTTCTGTTACAGTGTATGATGGTGCAATTCAACAGCTGCAATAATCCGAACAATTTCTCCGAGCACTCGCCGTGGTGTATACCACGTTTACTTATTTCCCTATTAAATTAAATTTTAATAAATAATAAGTAGATAAAATAATATAATTACCAAGTGGGGTATCCTAATCAAGATAAGCGATGTTGCGATGCAATTGTATTAAATGGATTTAAGCGTGACCTTGAATTCGTTTTGGATACAAGTCGGCTAATAGTCCACACACCTTAGCATAAAAAGGATCAACCTCAGAATGAGATATAGTAAACTACATATATACTACTAATAATATAGTGAAAAAAAAATTAATTCAAAAAGAAATGACATCCTTTTAAGTAGGGAAAGAGTTGGAACATAATCACAAAATGAGACAAAACTTTTTTAATGGAAACGATGCATTCCATCTCTGTGTTCATGGGTGACAACCTACCTGGATTTTGATTGTCTTTAATAGAGGATAAATGTAGATGTCTATGGGCCACAGCAACCACTTACCATGCACTTACCATCAGGAAAACTGTGTGCTCTGATTGAAAGGTCATATATCTTAGCATTGAATTTGGGGAATATGTTAAAAATATTTAAAAAACTGTGCTCCATAGCCAAGTCTTTGAATTTGAGCAACAAAATAAAGACGGTTTCCAATAAAATGAGAATGACATGGAGTATTATTAATAATAATTAAACTAGTAAGGTCAATTCTCGCAATACAAACTACCAGTTAAGTTTTAACAACAAATTTACTAAATCTCTAAGTGACTGCATTCTTTTCCTGCCGTCACCGAATCATTACTTAAACAAAATGTAAGTGCGTGTACAAATAATATTAATCTTAATTCTTATCCCTAAGTAGCTTTTAATTAATTAACTTGGGCCGTTTAAGATTTGATGTAAATAATATTTATTGGTTTCCTGTTCATAATCCCGAAGTTATTAATTATAAAGTATATGTTCTTATTCACCTCATTTTAATACTTTTTGATACACATGCACTACTTAAGCACAGGTAAGTCACTGGTAAAACACTTGCCAGCCCCTTGACTTTCAAATTCTATAAAACAGTAATGACTTGTCAATATCTACATCTCTTAGTAGTGTTACCCTAAATCAGATTTGGTCTTGCAGTCGTGGTCTTGTTCTTGCAACCAAGACCGCCTATTTTTAGCAAGATTTGAGCAAGAACAAGACTAAGCTTGCGAGACTCTTGCGTCTTGCAGTTAAGACTGAGTGTCGTTTTGTACTCAATGTAATTCATGTACTTCCTGTACATGAGTTCGGGTATGCACTAAGGCACTCTATAAGACGGAAAAAATTATATAAAAAAATTTGGAAAATTGAACTTATGCGCATTACGAACATTACTATAAACAAACTTACACAGAGAATAAAAATATCCTTTAAAAGAAAAAAGAGTGCATCCATAGTTTTCACCATCGGCACTTTGATAGTGCGTGGCTTCGTTACTTGTCAAAGAAATTTTGCAGAAATTGATATCGCATACAATCGTCACCGCCGCGCCAAACGCACAACATTTGAAACTGTTTGATTGCCGCCACAGAGTACATATTCCAAAGATATTTATATAGACATTCATATACATATTCATAAGACACTAATACTTTACGCAGATCTCGCAAGGAATATTGTAGTTATACAGTGGTAAGGATAGGTAGATATCATAATAAATTATTATAGTAAGTATTTATTACAATATTAACTATATGGGTTTATAATAATTACTTACTATTATTATTTTTTGGGATATCTATATAGTTTATCATCTGATTGGGTTCCATAAATATATAGCACGCAGACTCGACGACTTCCAGCCTCCCGAACAAGCTGGTTTCCGAAAAGGCTTCAGTACCATAGACCACATATATACCCTGCGGCAGATTGTACAGAAGACCGAAGAGTACAATCTGCGACTTTGCCTGGCGTATGTGGACTATGAGAAAGCCTTTGATTCCGTCGAAATTTAGGTGGTGCTACAGTCCCTTCAGCGGTGCCAAGTTGACTGTCGGTATATCGAAGCGCTGAAGTGTTTGTACAGTAGGGCTACGATAGCTATCCGAGTACAGAACCAGAGTTCGAAACCTATCCAACTGCAGAGAGGTGTAAGATAGGGTGACGTTATATCCCCGAAACTCTTCACCGCTGCGTTGGAAGACGTTTTCAAGATACTGGACTGGAAAGGATACGGTATTAACATCAATGGCGAGTATATCACTAACATTCTATTTTCTGACGATATAGTCCTTATGGCAGAATCGCTGGAGGACCTTAGCACTATGCTCAATGACCTCAACGGTGTCTCCCAACGGATAGGTCTTAAGATGAATATGGACAAAACAAAGATCATGTTTAATGTCCATGTCACACCTATGCCGGTAGTTGTTGGGAGCACTATGCTCAAAGTTGTTGACGAGTACGTTTACCTGGGACAAATAGTTCGACTAGGTAAGTCCAACTTCGACCGAGAGGTCAATCGACGGATTCAACTCGGCTGGGCAGCGTTCGAGAAATTACACACATCTTCTCGTCAGGTATACCTCAATCTCTGAAAACTAAAGTGTACAACCATTGCGTGTTGCCAGTGATAACTTACGGATCTGAGACGTGGTCCTTCGCTGCTGGCCGTATGAGGACGCTCAAGGTTGCTCAGCGAGCAATGGTGAGGGCTATGCTCGGAGTTTATCTGCGTGTTAGACTCAGAAATGAGGATATCCGCAGTAAAACCATAGTGACCGATATAGCCCAACGGATTAGTAAGCTGAAGTGGCAATGGGCCGGCCATAGCTTGAAGAACCGATAACCGATTGGGAAGAAAGGTTCTCGAGTGGCAGCCTCATACCGGTAGGCGTAGTGTAGGGCGACCCCCCACTAGATGGAGTGACGACCTGGTAAGACATGCAGGAAGTCGATGTATGCAGGTGGTTCAGGACTGTGATTTGTGGCGTTACTTGGGGGAGGCCTATGTTCAGCAGTGGACTTGTGAAGGGCTGTAATGATGATGATAATGATGATAGAAAAATATTATAAATGTTATTTTAACATGCCTTCATATCATGAAGTGGTTTACCCATTTTAGCCCCATCTATGGAAAGTACTATCGAACAGAACGAAAATGGACATTAATTTTGACATAAGTTATGGGTGTGATTGCAGATGTTTTTTTATGTCATTTCAGAAGAATTTTTGTAATTTTTTAAAAAATCTCCGTAAATCCTGAAAATGTGCTAATGCACTAATCATGCACTTCGTGTTATTTTTTTAATAAGTTATGTAAAATACACATAAGTTTTACTTTATCAAACAGAAGACAAACGGCGGATTCGGGCTATTTTGGAAATCTCTACCAGTCATTATGAATTCGATTACCTTAATCATCTCATTGAAGGCAATTACGGTTCACTTTTTTATATATTCATTTTTTGTTTACTTGCTTATTAAGAAATTATAATACTGTTACGAGTTTGAGGTTCGTGACAATAAAAACTGCCAAAAAATACTATCAATAAGTGACGGTATATCATTACAATACATTGCAAAGTTCAAATAGCACTATTCCTTACACCTGGTTTTAAATGTGCTATGTGCTCTTTTTTGTAAGAGTCGTCTAACTTTGACTGCCTCAATAGTCTAGCGGTCGTAAACGCGATTGCTGATCATGAGGTCCCGAGTTCGAATCCCGGGTCGAGCCAAAATCAGTGATCGGTTTTCTTTTTCATTAGCAGCTCGGAGTCAGGAAGTTAAATTGCCTTGGAAACATGTAAACGGGTTTGTACTGCGCCTTCTTTTTCTCCAGTCGTGTCAGATTACCGTCCCATAGGACTATGAGAGTGAGGAAATAAAGAGTGTACCTGTGCTTGCGCATACACTTGGATACTATAACCCTGCCCTGTACAGATTGCTGATCTCTTTAACCTCTCAAACGGCAAGCGTCCAAATTTGACCGCTTCGATATTCCGGCAAAATTCAAGAGTTAAAATGTGACCGCACCCACGCACAGCACTTTAACCCATAAATACTTATGTTCAGAGAATACTTTTCTATGAAGAAGTTTGGAATAATAGAATCAATATAATTTTTTTATCCTCTAATGGAATTAAAAATTCACTTAATCTATGGATATTTATTTAAAATCTACGTTCATTTCGTACGCCATTTTTGTGTGAATGTTATTGTGTTGATTTTTAGATTTTTCTAGTGTTTTATAAGTGTTTTGGTATAGTGTTTTATGCAGGAAGTCGATGGATGCAGGTGGCTCAGGACTGTACTTTGTGGCATTACTTGGGGGAGGCCTATGTTCAGCAGTGGACTTGTGAAGGGCTGTAATGATGATGATGATGATGAAATATATAGTTGTAAATGAGAATGATAAGTGTACATAAATATCAATAAAATAAAATAAATACATAAAAATGCATAAATAAATAAAAGCACAACCATATGGAAATTGAAGCCCTCGGCAGGGGAGACCAAACAGCCGAGGGTTAGGGGGAAAAGGAAAGTAAGCGGCGGACCATGCGGGCGGTATCAATGAGCACCGGCTTCTGCATTTGAGCCCGGAGCGGTCCTAGTCACCTCAAATGACCCGAGAGGCTGACCGAGAATAGCTCATTCGCAAAAACGGCTTCAGGAATAATTTCGGTCGGTAGACCACCCTACATGTCGGTTACCTCGTGAGCCAGGTCCAGCTTATTCGCAATAATAGTCC